TTTGAAGCAACTTGGAAGGATTGAATACCATCATATTCAGTTATCTATGACAGAAACAAAGAATTGAATACATGTTTTCACTCAACTGTGGGACCTGAATATTATCACATTTGCTCAAAAGGAGGATTGGTAGTTGCATAATCAATAAATCAAAGGGGATTGTGCTCTCGTTTATTCGTGCTGTTATATCAAAATGACACGTAACAGGCAATTTGAAAACGATAGAAATTTATTTTTCATAGATCTGTGGGCTGGAAAGTGTAAGATTAATAATCATGCTAGTTTAGCGTCTGCTGAGGTCTGCTCTCTGCTTTCAATATGATACTTGTCACTAAGTCATGGCTAAAGGAAGAAGGGAAGAAAAAATGATTGCTTGTTCCCTCCAGCACTTTTTGAAGGCCCACATCTATTCGTGATGACAAAACCTCATAATTTGTCACATACCATAAGGTCCACTTCTTAATACTACCACAGTAAGGATTAAGTTTCAACATGTATTTTAGAGGAGTCATAAATATTCAAACAACAGGAGGAATGTTAATTTTTTTCACTGTTTAAAAAGGCTTTTCTATAAAATGCAGGGAACTAATAAATGAATATTTAAAGCACATTAAATAAGCAAATCTGTATATTATAAAGTAAACAATAAAATGGTGAAGACAAAGTTAATAAATTGGAATTTTTAAAACTGCTAATTTTCAATTCATATAGTACATTGTATAATAACTAATTATATTAAATAAGATATTTCCATAAAATAAATATACTTAAAAATGGGATAACTTTAGTATATAGAAATAAAATTACTTTTATTTAAAAAATACCAAGGATGTTCATAACAAAAATAACTGTTTTCTCTTTTAATGAGACACTCCTTTAATATAAGCCTAAAGAATAATTTAAATAAAGACATGAAAACATATACCACTGCAATAGAAACTAAATGAAACTGCTATAGTTAATGCCCTGTCATGATATAAAAGCATTATTGCAAATGAAAAAGCAAACTTCTAAAAATATATATTTATATCGAATCATTAGTAATATTTTTAAAATAGACTATATGGAATGCTAATACAACTTCAACATAGAATTGAAAGAAGCATCTAAACAGGTTCTCAAAAACAGGGATTCACACTTTTCTCTTGCTGCTTATAATACAAACATTGCAGTGAGCCTATAAAAGACTTAAGCTAAACAATAAATCAACATACATATGAACACACACATACACTCTCTATGCAAATATCAAATATTTATATTCAAGTTCACATAAAAATGTTCCAAAAGCGCACTCCCATATCATCTTGCCAAGCATTTTAATATAAAAATACAGTGCTGTATTTTCAAGGCAGAACCATGGCAGCCAAGCTTTCCCTGTTGATACTTGAATACAGTTACTCAAATTTAATATTGATTAACTAAAAATTAGTAACTTTTAAATCACTTCCTCAGTCACAATAGTTACATTTAGACACAGACATAGAACACTTCCAACTTCACAGAAAACCTTATGATCATAAATTATTTAAAATATAAGTCATTAAACGAACATTTGAAAACCCGAATGGCTTATAATTCAGTAAAATATTTATAAATAAATTAAGGGCTATAAATATCACAGTGAATATTCAAAATTATATAAATTCCCATGAAAATAAAGTCTTTCTTTTGAAAAACAGATTTTCTTAAATGTATACACAACAAAGGACAAAAACAGAAATTAAATTATCTGAGAATTCATCAAGGAAATTTAAAATGGGAAATATGATATTTACTGCCAGTAAATACAAGCAAAGTAGTAGAAGGGAAAAATAAATAGTCAAAATTACGACCTTAAACACAATTACAGTGGGGATGTATAACAAGCAAGAGTATTTTTATTGAAAAAACTATAAAACTGTAATGAAAGAATATTGATAGAAAAATCAGATAAGGCAAAGACTTTTGTTTCTGAATTAAACAGGAGAAATCGTTATGGCTTTTATAGATATCCATCGCTATTGATATTGAACTAAATTCAGTATACATTTTAATATCCATATGGAATTTAATCTAGAAAATAAAAATTATCAAAATGCAGTACCACAAACAACCTTCATGTATTAAAGAAATTGACCTTGCTATAAAAACTTTTCTACAAAAATATTATAGGTACTCCGACGTCATTACCACTGAATAAGAACTTTTATAAATGACACCGTACTAAAGGAAAAAAAAAAAAAAAGCTTCTAGGGTACAGAAAAGAAGAGGACTGCCTTTCAATACAGCCTTGTTAGCAAAAGTGTTGAATAACAGCAGTAAATCTATCCTATGAACATAGATAAAGAAACAAATATTACCTTGAATTTAATATATTCAAAATTTATTTTTAAAGGGGCATTACACAATAACAATTACATATATATATATATATTTTAGAGACGCAAGACTGGTTTAAAATACAGAAGGAATAAGCCCTAGGAGAGGTTCATATCTATTATCCCAACAATTTAGTAGGTTGTGGTAGGAGGATCGTTTGAATCCAGGAAGGCAAACTATCCTAGGTAACATAACAGTGCAAAAATAAAAAAAAAAAAAGAAAAGGAAAGAAAGAAAAGAAAAAAATTACTCCTTGTGGTAGCATGTAATGTAACTGTGTTATCAAGTATTCAAGAAATTGAGGAGAGAGGTTTCCTTGAGTGCAGTAGTTAGAAAATGCAACAAGCCATCATTGTGCCACTACACCCAGTCTTAGAGGTAGAGCAAGACTTTTTACACAAAAATAAGAGAATAAAAGAAAAGAAAGAAAGAAAAAACACTTTGAAGATAATCGTAGTTTACATTGGGAACATTATATGGAGAAAACATACTGATAAGAATAAAATCAATGCAATATCATTAGATAAAAAATCGATTAGAAAATTTAGAATATTGTTATATTTCTTTGAGAAAGTTAAGATGAAAATTTCTAAACATAAATGAATTTTTTTTCTCAAACAGGGAATAATGCATAGGATATGCATAGAACTTTTATTGTACCTTCTATTTATTAGAAATAAACCTCTCACAGGGAAACTATTTCAAGAAAGAAAATCATTACACCTAGAGTGAGAAAATAAAAGTGTAATTATTTACAGATAAAATAGCTGATTATTTAGAAAGTACAAAAAATCTGTACTTGAAATTATAATGTTAATACATAAAATCAATGAAGCAACTGAATATACGGTCAACGTGGAAACTTCAAAGGTATCTACACTTGTAGCAACACACATTTCTAAAATAAATTTTAAAATAAAGATGCCATTTACAAAAACAAGAAAGTAAAATACCTATATTACTGTGTGACTTCAAAACTAAAAAATACAAAACATGTGATAGAGAGAAATTAAAGAAAATTGAACGTTGAGATCAAAGCCTGAATTTTGTTGAAGTCAACACTACAAAGAACCATAATCTTTAAAAATTATGTCACAGATTAAATGCAGTCCCAAATATAAATCCCATGAGAGCTTTTTGATGTCATTATTTGTTTATTTCATGCCAGTTGAGTAATATGCACATTTCATATTAAGATTAGGGAGGCATATCTCACATATTCATGTGAAACCCAATTATCCCATTTATAAACTACAAAAAGTGAGCATTTATTTTGTATTTGCGGTGTCATGTACATACTATAAATTTCATCCACTTAAAAATTTGAATATATTCATAGAGTTACATCAAAGACCACTATGAAAAAGAAACACTGTAGCTATTGGCAGTCACTTTCTAATTCACCTTAAGCCCTTGGCCACCACTATTCTATTTTTGTCTCTGTGAATTTACCTATTCTTGATATTTCACACAAACAGACTCACATAACATGTAACTTTTAGAAAGGTTTAATGACACAAATCTAATGTCCAGGAAAATGAGTCAGGCACAACAGCGGTGATATCTGCCCTTGTTGGTGTGCGTATTATAAGTCCTTTTGAAATTTATTTTCATTGCTGAAATAAACAACATAATTCATTTTCAAACCTATGTGATCAAAATATTATTTTTATTTAATAAAATATAGAATTACCTGGTAGACTCCAAATTCAGGCGTTTCAATTCTGAAACGTATGCTTACAAATATACAGTTGTGGAACTCCACATTTTTGTGCCTCAAATACTTGTAAGTGTATCATTACACAGTTGTATTGAGCAAAATAGTCTGCTATCCTGTAGTGAAGAAAAAGCCACAATTCATTTTATTTGGGGCAACAATCTGTGAAATAAGAGAATTATCCATTTATTTTTAGAAAATAATACCATGAAAAGAGGTTAGAACATTTATCATATTATGATAGTCAGTTATTAAACAAAACTTAAGTCTCCTCCGCACTTTGAGGGAGACATTAATTCCAGTGGATTCCTGAAACAATGAATAATGCCAATTCTCATAGGAATAAATACTATGTCTTTTCTCTGCATACATACCTGTAAATTAGGCACAAGAGATTATCAATACCCAATAATTTAATATAATAATTATAGCAATACGCTTACATCTCTACTCTTTCAATTGAGGCCCATATTAAGTAAACTAAGCACTTATTAAGTAAAACAACACTATGAAGACAGTGGATCTGATAACTAGATGACTACAAGTGACAGACACCAAGTAGCATACACAGTATGGATATTCCAGACAAAACAATGATTTATGTTTCAGATGAGAGTGATCAATACTACCAAAGATTTGATCAATCTACTCAGAGCAGTTCACATTTAAAACTCATGAGTTGTTTTTTCCTGAAATTTTTGAATACTTTTGGCTGAGGTTGATCCTGAGCAATGAAACCAGAGAGAGTGAAATTGTGGTTTAGGGAGTGTACTGTAGCACATTATGTAATGTTTTTTTCAACATGGTAGCAACTTTTGAAGTCTTTCCTCAAGTCTAAATATCAACATAAGCTTATTCATATTACTGTTTGTATTTCTCCCTTTTATATATTTATTCTCTTTATGGCACTGTTCCAATAAACTTATTCATGTTTGAACACTGAGCCCTTTATTGACACCCATGGATGATCACCGCTGTTACGGAAGACTCCAATCCATGCTTCACGTACAAGAGACGTCAAAATCTTCTAACAAAATAAAACATTTTTATGTAAGTAAACATTATGATAGATTGTATTAGCCTTAAAAGTAATAGGTGTATTTTTCATAAGATCCTTAATTTTTTAAAACAATATGCTAAACTTTAAAAAAATTTCTGTAGTGTCTACATTTTTTGTGTAAATTCAAAGTATTCTAGCATGTTTTTGTTACATGTATATATTGCCTTGTATTGAAGTTCAGGGTTGAAGTAAAACCATCATCTGAAAACTGTACATTGTACCCAATAAATAATTTCTCATTCATCATCCCCCTCCCATTCTCTGTCCCTTCAGGGCTTTCAGGTCTGTATTTCACTCTTTATGTCCATTTATACCCGTTATTTATCTTGCACTTACATATGAGAATATGTGGTATATGATTTTCTCTTTCTTATTTATTTCACTTAATGATAAAAGCCTCCAGTTCTATTCTTGTTGCTGCAAAAGTCATGATTTGCCTTTTGGGCTGTGGAGTGTTTCCCAGGGTATGTGTCTGTTTGTGTCTGTTATTGTGTATTTGTGTGTGTGTGTGTGTGTGTGTGTGTGTGTGTGTGTGTGTGTGTGTGTGTGTAAATACACATACATATGGTGTATGTGTATATAAATATGCATAATACATTTTTATTCAAGCGTTAGATTACGTCCATATCACTGATGTTGTGCATAATGCAACAGAAAATGTATAAGTGATATAATTGATTTTCATTTCTGTAGACACCTAGTAGTGTGATGGCTAGATTAAAAGGCAGTACTTCTTTTATTTTTGAAAAATCTCCAAACTGTTTTCCATAGATATTGTACTGATTTACATTCCCACCAACAGTGTATGATGTTCTGTTTTCTCACATGCTTATAATCATCTGTTATTTTTTTCTCTTTATTGATAATCATTTTGACTAAAATAAGTTGGCCTCTCATTGTAATATTCATTGACTTTTCTTTGATGATTAGTGATGTTGAGTATTTTTATATGCTTGTTGACCATTTTTATAGATGCTTTTGAATAGTGTTGATCTAAAGAGAACTCTTAAATGTTTAACTTAATAATTTTATCCACCTTCCCAAGTTAATTTAAAAAACTGTGATTCACATCATTTAATAGTCACCCACGTTGTCAAAACTATCAGCATGGATTTGTATAAGTTTCCAGTTTGTACATTCATTTCACAGATTTTGTGACTAAATCAATATATTTTTCACAGATATTCAGAGTTGTGGTTTAGAAGTGGCTTAAGAAATTGCCATCAAGAAAATAAATTACTTATGCCCCAAACTCCTCTTTACTTGTTTCTTAGAGGAACCACATAACTTAAAACTATATCAGCCCTCATTTTTATCTGATTTCATTTTTATTGAATACAGTGTTCCAAGACCAGGTGGTCTATATGCATTCTCTGTATTACTCCCTACTACATTCAACTATAAGCTATAAAACAAATAAAAAAACAGAAGCAAAGGAGAGCTGGGAATGGTGGGCTCAGTGGCTCAGCCTGTAATCCCAGCAATTTGGGGGCCAAGGCAAGGGGACTGCCTGAGCCCGAGGGTTCGAGGCCCGCCCGGGAATTTGAGGAGACCTTGTTTCTACAATAGATCAAGAATTAGCCAGGCGTGGTAGCACGCGCCTGTAGTTCCGGCTACTTGGAAGGCTGAGATGGAAGGATCACCAGAGCACAGCAGGTCGAGGCTGCGGTGGCCGGGAGCAGACACTGCACTCCAGTCTCAGCGACAGAGTAAGACTCCAATCAAAAAAAAAAAAAAAAAGGAAGGCCGAAATGCTTTGAAATCTAGGCCCAGGGATCAACAGAGTGGCTGGGTACCTTGAAATCCCCACCAACAGAGAAAATGAAGTAGGTTTGCTGTTTTCTAGCAACTGATCTAACAATATTTGTAACATTAAAACACAGGCCAATGGTTTGGGTAGGAGGCAGAGCAGTGATGAGGACACACACAAAAGCAAGTCTGTTGGTGCTAGAAACATCTGTTTCATGATATTTGTATTGCACGAATTCATTCATTTTGTGATCAACCTGTACATCCAGTAGAATTAATTTGCAAAATTTGTTTTAGAATCAAAGCATCTATGGTTGCATGCTTTCAATGAAAAGAAGTAAGGAAATGTGCATTAGCAGAAGTGGATACAAATAAACTATTTTAAAGTCAACCAATAAAATTTTCTTAGTTGAAAATATTTCAACAAAATATGTACATGAAAATAAATTATTTCTACAAATATATTGCACTGGGCCGGGTTTGGTGGCTCAGCCTGTGATCGAAGAACTTTGGAAGGATGAGGTGAGTGGATTGCCTGAGCCCAAGGGTTCGGGACTTGCCTGGGAAACTTGGCTAGACCTTCTCTCTACAATAAATCAAAAAATTAAGCGGGCGTGGCAGCGCATGCCTGTAGTTCTGGGTACTTGGAAGGTTGAGGTGGAAGGATCGCTGGAGCTGTGCAGGTCAAGGCTGCAGTAGCCAGGACCGGCCACTGCACTCCAGTCTGGGCGACAGAGTGAGACTCAGACTCAAAAAAAAAAAAAAAAAAAAAAAAAAAATTTATATATATATATATATATATACACACACATACACATATGTATATACATATACACACACACATACATAACTGACTGAAATAAGCTTTCAATAAGTATTTGAAACATTGACTGCCATACCATTTCTTCTTCATCATCTATATAAAGTAGACTGGAGTTCATAGACGCACAGGCCATCATACTCTTCTCCCAAGTTTTTGTTTCCTTTCCAATGTAATAACAACTGTTGGAATATGTAAACCATTCTTCTGGACAACTACAATTATGTGCTGAGGAAACATTGCAAATATCAAGAAACAATATGAATACTTTAAAATAAAACTTAATGTACAAAGGCTTGTCATATATGCACGTAACATATCTAGGTATTCTCACTGATGTACATATAATTAAAACCCATTTACTCATAGAGGTACACACTGTAAAGAGACAGTATCTTGTCCCTTAATTGTGTTCACACATGAAACAAACCAACAGACAAAAGATCACATTACACACATCTTGAAATCACTGAACATACTCTTTTTATAAAAGTAAAATTATTTATCTCATGATGTTATAGCAATAGGAATTTGCAACAAAACAAAAAAGGGTACAGTGATTTTGAATGAGTATTTAAATTTATTGCTAAAGAAAAGAAAATATGTTCTTATAATCTTTATTTACAGACATTTATGACTAAATTTTGTAATTTATTTACCCTCAATAAATCTCTGACTATTTTTGCATGACTAAAGATCAATACAAAATATAAACTCTTATTATCAGAACTTTGGAAATCATTACGTACCTTTCTGAGTGCTTGCATTTTGGAAAGAATTGGTCTGCTTCTGTGTTGCTGTAGCTAGAAAATTTAAAATAATCTTTTATAAAAAAAATTAGTATCTGAATAAGTCATAATGATGTTAGCTTCTTTGGAATTTGATAAATTAGGCCAGACTTGTAGGCCTAATGTGGAAGGCCGAACCTAGTGGATTTTCTGAGCCCTCAGGTTTGAGACCAGCACAGGCAACTCATCTCTACATTAAATAAAATAAATTAGCTGGGTGTGGTGGTGCGCACCTGTAGTTCGGCTACTTAGAAGGCTGAGGCTGAAGGATGTCAGACCCCAGCATGTCGATGCTGGGGTGGCCGTGACCGTGCCACTGCACTCCAGCCTGGGCAATCGGATATTGAAAAATGTAGGATTGTACAAAGAAAAATATATGAAGTAATTGAGGCTTGGGAAAAATATTTTAACAGTATAAAGAGCAAATTCAACGTCTCATACAATACTTGATTTAGCCACTTTCAAAAATTAATTTCTATTTCTCGGTAAGGTTTTTCAATTTGCAAAACATGTGAACTGAACCCTCATCATACAAAATAAATAGGTTATGTTGAGTGGAAGTAAATCATCAATTATGTATATAGTTTATATATATAAAGTACAGATGGAATTAATTGCAATGAGATAAATTGTTATGAGTCCAGTATCATTTATCACATTCTATAAAATAAATAATGCTCTCAAGTGAAAGACAATGTGAGAGTTCAACTGTTTTCTTAAAGTTTGCAGTCACTGCAAAAGGCTATGACCATCAAGAAAACTCACATGATACTCAGTACCCTAAAAATTTTCTTTCATGAAAAAGATGAGAAATATCCTGAGAAAATTATGATCATGAGTAATAAGACAGGAAGCACCCACTAATGAAGACAACTGATATTTAATCAGGGAGCAAATGCCATTCAATGAAAAAAATAAATTGAACTTAGTTAAAATCAATCACTTTTAGTTTGTAAAAGACAGTGTTAACAGAAGGAAAAGATGACCCCGCAGACTGAGAGAAATTTTTTCAAAGCACATATATGTTAAAGGATTTGTATCCAAAATATACAAATTATGCTTACACATAAACAATAAGAAAAAAATTAAAATGAGTAAAGAATGTGAACCCAACTCTCATGACATAAAATACACAGATGGCAAATATATAAATGGATCATTATATATCATTAGGGAAATGCAAATTAAGACAATAATGAGATGTCTCTACACATCTCCTAGAATGGCTAAAATCTTTTACAGCAGAATTTTATAAGACGCACAAAGAAACTGTACAAATCATACCTGGAATTATTTCAAAAAATTGAGAAGGAAGGACTACTTTTTAGGATACTAAAATTATTTCTCACTTATCATACTGTGGCACTAGAAAATTTGAGCGAATAGACAAAAGGAGAGCAGAGAAATCTCAAGTGAGTATTTCTGCTTATTGTTGAAGACAGGGAAGTGCTCTATAATTTATGTTTATTAGCATTTATAGCATAATTATATTATTTCCCCATCAAAATCTGTTATAATTTTGAGTGCCTTAAAATAGATACAAAATGTAAACTACATTAATTCCAGAAATGTGAAAATCAGTATTTTCCCTTCTGGGTTCTTGTTATCAGAGAAGAATTATTCTGCTCCAGTATTACATTAACTATACCAATAAAAGTAATATTTAAAAAATATTACATAAACAATTTATAATAATTTTAGTGTGTTACCTTAAAATATGTCACATTAAGAATTTAGAAATATGAAATACAACTAATTTTTTAGAAAACGTAATGAAATAATTAGATCTTTGTAAAAAAAAAAAGTAAAAACCTGAAACTCCAAACTTTATCATCTGTTGTAGTATTTTTTTATAATCAATATTTTTTACTATGATGTTGTGGGGTACAGTTAAGGGTTAGGTATAGAGATACATTTCATTCAGGCACCCTATTGATAAGAGGTGCTTCCCCATCCCCAGACAAATATTTGCTCGTTAATCCCATCTTCCTCCCCCCCCATGGTTTCCCACTACTGTTAGTCATTTTACTATTTTATATAGTCACTTATAGAAATGAATTTGCCTGCCTGGGCAGCGAGACCTCATCTCTACAATAAATCAAAAAAACAGCCAGGTATGGTAGCGCATGCCTGTAATTCCGGCTACTCGGAAGGCTGAGGTCGAAGGATCGCGGGAGCCCAGCAGGTCGAGGCTGCGGTGGCCGGGAGCGGCCACTGCACTCCAGTCTGGGCTACCAAGTGAGACTCCAACTCAAAAAAAAAAAAAAAAAAAGAATTTGCATTTTTAAACACGTTTTAACCTTGAAGCATGTCTTAATATTATATAAATGCAATATTATATGTGTATAATTACATATATGTATGATTTAAACAACTGTTTATTCCAATGATTATAGCTTGAAAAGCTCAGAGTAAGTATTTTACTTTGGATTAAGTCTATACTTTAAAATGAGAGCCCTTTTCCCTGACATGATGAAATGCTTTGAAATGCTTAGATACATGGCAATCAGTAAAATGTAAGTTCTCGTAACAATCATGCAAGTATATACTTACAGGAAATAAGAACTATTGTTTTTAACACAGAAGCCATCAGAACAATGCAAATTATTGCCAAGATCTCAGCAGTAATCTTTTTTGGAAGTGATGGAAAATCTGCACAGAGAGAAATAGAAAAACAGAGAAAGGACAGTAAAATTAGAAGGTTTGCATATGAGAGAACACACGTGTGCAGAAAATTACCTGGTTAAACTCTGGTTTCTAAACAAATATCTGCCATACTAAGCTTTCTCTCAAAATACAACATTTTGTTTTCAGTAAATACAACGCTCTGTTATTTTTATGATCAAGGTCTACAAAGTCAACAATGCCTGAATAAAATTAGTCTCCATATTTCATGTTAAAATATCATATCCTGACTCTGAGCTCTGATACTAGAAATGAAAAATATTCCCTAATCTTTCACATGACTCTGCTCTCCAACTGCACATCCTAGAAGAGTAATATTGAAGATTGACTAAATATTTTACCTTTGCTGTGGTAGGTCATATCTTCCTCTTGGTGATCCAGAGAAGCATTTTGAAGGTTTAATTTCATGTGGGTTTTTTCCTGTTCAGTTACTGAAATGGAGCATTCAGCGACCTTAGGTTTTGTTTGCTGCTTCTTTGGGTCCTCAGACAGATTAAGTTGTGAGTAGGTTCTTATTTGTTTCTTCATTTCTGTAGCTATGTGATGTCAGAGACTGTGCTGTGTGGTAACTTTACTTATAAGTTAATAAATGACTTATAAAATGACAAGATCCCTGATATAGTCAAACGGTATATGCTGGAGGCTAGTAATAATATTTATTTGCAGGCAAATACTGTAAAATCTGGTTCCAATTTTCTTAAAGCTTTAAACAAAATTATCATGATAGAGTAAATAAAAATAATTCTACATTAGACATAATATTATTAGTGGGAGCAAGACATAGTGAATAGTGAGTTAATGACTAAAAAAATTAAATAAATTTAACAGATTCTACAGAAATATTTTAACACCTTTAGAATACCTGGGATAAAAATTAAAATACTATATTGGAAAATAACACACTAATTTGATGACAATTTTACGTTTATTAATCATTAAAGATTTAGTGCTATAAAATGAAAGAGCAATAATAGCACATATGTTAATTTCATACTCGAAAATACATTTAGCTAGTGACTGACATTAACATTCAAACTTTGAGAAATACCCTATGGTGTCAAAATCATAAAGATCACTTTACTTGTGTAAGCAATTGGAAATATTCTGTTCAAGTTATCTAGATGTGAGATCTAGAATTAATTTCTGGCATTGAAATTTACATGAGATCATTAAAAATTTAATTATAGTCTATAAAATAATTCACTAAAAAGGATTCTGTTATATCAGTGTGATGCATCTTTTTTCTGCAATTTTTTTCTGTTTTTAAAAATCTTCCAATTATTTATAATTAAGTTTAGAAAGAATTTTATGACAACTAGCTCACATTTATTTTTACTAAATATAAAGCTCCTTTCATTTACCTAAAAATATGTATGTAATTTACTCGACATTCATAATTTCATGTATTTATATTAAAAATTTTATCTTTAATGGCTCGGCTAAATATAGTTATTTTTATACTTTTACTGGTTACAAAATCCAAAAGTAATTATTCATTATCTTGATGGCTGCAAGTTTTACTTTAAATTATATTGATTAACAAACCTAATATAATGTGTGTATATACTTGGCTAATTCTTGACAGGCAATAATTTAAATGATTTAAGAAAATTTTCAAAATATTTTATATATTAGTCTTATTTTTCACCATAATTTTTTCAAGTTAAAATGCCAATGTTCTACTTTGTTTTCATTCTATGTTAATTTAAACTTATTTATATTACATCTAGCATTTATAATTTTTTATTATATGAAATGTGTTGCTAGAGAAAGAAAAGAATAACAACACATACCTTCTGTCTCCAGAAAGTCCTGCATTTTTTAGTGGAGAGGTCAGGTTATTCTCATGAGGAAACAAAAAATATCTGTGATCTTCACCACTGCCCTGTGAAGACTCAGAGTGAAGCAGGAGTGGAAACAGTAAATCTCATAAATGTGTCACTTAAGATTTGAATAGAAAACTCTCATCCTTTAACTAATGTAAAATCAGTTTCTCTCATCACACTCACAGATTTTCAGAATATAGAAGACTTTGGTTCCTAATATGTCATTTATTTTGTCCATTTTCAATTGCCTCTTAGAAATTATTTTTTATTTAGCATGATGAAAAGGAACAAAAACTTTATTAGCTATGAAATGTTTTCCATCACGATCACAAACACAAAAATCTTAAGCCTTGTTAATAGTATTGTTAATGTATAAGTTCCATAGTTAGACAAACTTGAAATTACATACTTTTTTCCTGATACATTTAATGTTATTGCTATTATGATGAATTTTTAAAAAAAGTTATAATCCCCCAATCCATAGGAATTTAATTTGTCACTAATTACTATGAAGGATGACTACATTATTAACTTTAAGTGAAATCAATTTCTGAACTTAAATTTGCAAATTTATCTTCTTGATTTCTCTAATTTGTAAAATTCCATTATTCAATTTTATTATTTAATAAGCTGATCATATTTCTCTAACAAAAAAAAAGTCTCTTCGAAGGATAAAATGTTAAACACCATTGAACTATATGACAATGTCAGATATTGAAATAATAAATAATCATTCATTTTATTGTTCAATGATCTATTGTCCAGTAATAAGTGATTATCTATGTTTTCTTGGAAATTTTTATGTAAATAGCTAAATTTAAGTCAAGTTCTGTAGAAGGAGATAAGTAATTTTTAAATGTCATCTAACTAAAAGTAGGAAGAACAGAAAAAGCACTTTGAAACAAAATTTCAATGACATGTGAACATCAGGAGAAAGACTTCAAATTATCCAGTTTAATTAAAATTGAAATTATTTTATTATTTTTACTTTCATATCAAGAAAAAAGGGAATGTCTGTTGTCTGTAATTCCAAAGCATATTCCATGATGCCTCTTAAAGATTAAATTTTTAAAAAATAGCTTTCTAAAATCTAGAAATATAAAATTAAAATTCATATGTATATCTTGGAATCAGATCAGTTATTTGAGCCTTCCAGACTATGACTAATGTGGGCTAACCATATATGTATCTCTGTTAATTATATTTTAAAATATTTTTATAAACTAAATCAATAATCTGTGTGCATATTGTATTTCTATTAGTAATACATTTATTTATATTTATGTATTACAATTTCATGAACTACATTAATATTTTTTCTATTAGTCTTAATATAGAAATACAACAAAATCATTAATTAAAGATAGCAAATAACGTAACATTCACCAACATTTTGCTTTTAAATTTGAGATACTAATGTCTACCATTCTTCCTTCAAACACTCACTTATTGTTTCCAATTAAATAGCCTTATAGTCATGTATTACTTAATGATGTGGAAACGTCTTAGAAAATGCGAGATTTGATGATTTTGTCATTGTGTGAACATCATAGAGAGGACTTACACAAACCTAGATTATATAGCCTACTACAAACTTACACTATATGGTATAGTCTATTGCCTCTAGGCTGAAAACCGCACAGCATGCTACTCTATCGAATATTGCAGACGATTGTAACACAATGGTAGATATTTGTGTATCTAAACATAAAAAAGTAAAAAATGGTATGTTGTACAGGTCACTTACCACCAATGGGACTTGCAGGATTGGAAGTTGCTCTGGGTGTCAGTGAGGGTTGAGTGAATTTGGAGCCTATGGCATTACAGTAATTTACTATAGTAAATTGTATAAATACTGTGCACTGAGTGTACACTAAAGCTATGCAAATAGTCTTCATTCTTCAATCATAAATTAATATTAGCTTACTCTAAATTTCAACTTTATAAACTGTATATTTAACTTATTGGTTTTTTTAATAATTAATTAATTAATTATTTATGAGTTGGAGTCTCTGCTGCCCAGACTGGAGTTCAGTGGAATGCTCCTGGATTCCAACCTCGACCTGCTGGGCACTGGTGATCCTTCCACCTCAGCCTTCCAAGTAGCTGGAACTACAGGCACATGCTATCATGTCTGGCTAATTTTTTATTTATTGTACAGATGAGGTCTCGCCAAGTAACCCAGGTGGGTCTCAAACCTGTGAGCCCAGGAAATTCACTCACCTCAGCCCCCAAATCGCAGGATTATAGGCTGAGCCCTGAGCCCAGCTATATTGGTTCTTTTTATTTTATTTTATATTTTTTAATCAATATTTTTTATTATGATGTTGTGGGGTACAGTTAAGGATTAGGTATACAAATGCATTTCATTCAGGCACCCTGTTGATAAGAGGTGTTTTCCCATCACCAGACAGATATCTGCTACCGTTAATCCCATCTCTCTCCCCTCCTATAGTTTCCCACTACTGTTAGTCATTTTTTTGTATTACATTGGAGGTTTAAGGTTCATTATATGAGTGAGAACATGTGATACTCGGATATTTGTTTCTGTGAGAGGTCACTCAGTATTATAGACTCTAGTTCCATCCAGGTTGCTGTGAAATTCATGATTTTGTTCCTTTTTATGGCTGAATAGTATTCCATCGTGTATACATACCACATTTTTTAAATCCAGTCCTCTTTTGATGGGCAGCATAGTTGCTTCCAGGTTCTTGCTGCTGTGAACAATGCTGCGGTAAACATATGTGTGCAGGTATCTTTTTTTTATAGAGTGATTTGAGTTCTTCGGGATATATTCCCAGTAGGGGGATTGCGGGGTCATATGGGAGGTTGATATTTAGAGCTTTTAGGAATCGCCACACTGTTTTCCACGGAGGTTGCACTAGTTTACACTCCCACCAACAGTGTAGAAGTGTTCCCTTTTCACCACACCCTCTCCAGCAGCTGTTATTTTTTGAGTTGTTTATAATTGCCATTCTGACTGAAGTTAGGTGATATCTCAGTGTGGTTTTGATTTGCATCTCCCTGATGATTAGTGAGGTTGAGCATTTCTTCATGTGTCTGTTGGCTGCTCAGATGT